ATTTTTCCTTCCTATGATAGCCCGACGGGCAGGGCAGAGATAGATTTTGGTAGCCCGACTGGAAAAATCGCTAGCCCCGGGACGTCGGGCTAGTGATTTTGCGAGCCCTGCACTATTCTAGCGAGACTATTTCTGATCAGACTTTTAAAGGACATGGTACAGATACTGAAAGCCAATAAAACTGCTGTAGATAGTTTTTAAGGCTTGCCACCTTTGTCCATCACTTTTCCAGTTTTCTAAGATTTCATTGTAAGAACACACGGCACACTATGCTGAGATATGAGATATACTAACAGTAGAGTCACTTGGTTTGTGATGAAAGTATTGTATAAGTAATTATTTAAGTTGCATCTTGGGTGAAATGACATCAGTGCTTTTTTCCAAATATCAACAGACTTACACAGAAACAAATTGTGACACTAATATTGAGGTCCACAAAGATTAGAAAAATTCTGTTTGTGTATGTATTAAATAAGGTGCTATAGCTGAAACGCAGCTGTTGGAGGGCAGGATTTCTAATAATTGTGTTACCTGTCATGACTAAGCAGTGCTGAGTCTGATTAATTTGTTTCACTCATACAGAGCACTCAGCTGTTTCCTAATCAGATTGTCTCGGAGCAGCAGTCATTGGTTGTTATGAAGAAGCTTCTGGCCATTGCAGTATCTGGCATCACATACCTCAGGGGCATTTTCCCGGGGAAAGCCTATGGGAAAAAATATGTGGAAGGTTAGATTACATATGAACCTAATTTGACTGTACATCCTATTAGCTTTCAAGTTCACTTACCTGGAAAAAGTTCCATAGAACATTCACGCGTTCTGTTTTTTCTTTTTAGATCAGCAAGTGATGATTCTCAGAGAGGAGCACAGCTGTCCTGGTGCCACTCAGATTCTTCAGTGGTAAATTACAGCAGCTTGACATTTGCTAACAAGAGCTGTTTATTAGGGTCACTAAAGCCAAATAGACACCATCTTGTGGAGTCATATCAACTGCTCCATTTTGATGTACCAGTTTTGATTTTGTCTTCCAGTGTTATCCCTTTGACAAAATCTGTTCATAGACAAACCCTTACAGAGGTACTTTATGATAGTTCTCATTTTAGTAGGTGTCACCAGAACTATGTTTTACCATTGGTAGACAAACAGACCTACAAGGTAAAAATAAGACCATCATATCTTTTGTGGTTGGTCAAAAATTGAACTTGATTGAACTTGGTGATGTTGAAATAATATTCTTGATCTGTTTCCATCAAGAAGATATTTACACGCAGTGAACAAATATAATCTAATTAGTGCAATAGACAATTATGCTTCATAAATAAAACGTTCTAGCTCTTAGCGTCATGGAAAATGAGATGAGAAGTATATTGTTATGTTACACTCAACAGTTTCAACAGTGTAAATAAGGGACAGGTTGTTGAAGAAATTTGTTTTTTTTAAATTTCTTTTAAATTTACATTACTTTAAATTAAAGTAATTAAATTAAATTAAATTAAATTTATGCCAGTTTGTTCATCAAGAAATAATTCCAGTGGCTCCTTGTTCTTGTTTCATTTTTTGTGCTTTAAAATTTTAATTCTTATTTTTTCTATGGATCATAATTGTTTTTAATTTCCACCAGGATGCAAGGATGTTTTGATGCCATCGAAAAGAAATACGTAAGTCACATTTGACCTTTATCAGTCAGAAGATTTGTAATGTACACATACGTTAGGGGAGATTTAAAAAAATAAATTGTAATTTGCACTTTTTTTTGTATCAGAGCAACTAATGCAGTCAAAATGTTGTTTTTTTCTTCCTCACCAGCTTCGGACAGTCATTATATCTGTGAGTATTTTGCTAATACTTGAATGTGTGTTCTTGAATAATGACTCTTTGTATTAAAGCCTGGGTCAGCCTGGAAAAGTGAGTGTATCTAACACATGAGCAACTAAATGTCGGAAGAGCTGTAATGTTTTAGATAATTTAGTCTTATATTCTATGCGGTACTGATGTTTGTTCATTTGGCCTTATTTTTTAGATTTATACCGACCCAGAGAACCCACAGGTAAATATCAGGTTATCTTTTTGCAATATTCACTGTTTAACAATTTGAAGGCTGCTCCAGTCTACACCCTGCATCCCTAAGTATCTATGGGCAAGATACTGAACCCAAGGTTGCTGTCCCATGTGTTCATTGGGGTATGAATGTGTGTGACCGTTAGATGGAAAAAAACTGGTTGTAGAAAAAAGTTCTTGTATTATTGGGTGAATGAGGCACTTTGAGTAGAGTAGAAAAATGATATATAAGAAGTGGTCCATTTTCCGTTTACTGTCTCCATAGTGATTACCTATAACATCTGGCATGTCGTCTTTTTCAGAAAGTGACCGAGTTTTACCACTTTAGGATCCAGTACTCTGCAGCAGGGGCACACATGGATTTTGAAAGGTGGGGTGTGTTTATGCTTACAGATTACACTCACGTATGAGAAAGTAACTTTAAGTAAGAGTTTCTGTTTTAATTGTTACCTAGTCAATCTTTGAATTTGCCTGTCTTTCTTCGGGCCAGAAGTTGCGTGAAAGTTGGAGAAAAGAAGTGAGGAGCTTAAAGAGTTTTATGTATGTTTAAAACTTAAACCCAAGGTGATATGTCTGTTATTGTGTCAATAAATCGAAGCCTTGAAAGAGTGATTACTATATCATTATATCATTGTATCAGCACTGGGCTACAACTGAATTAAAGGGTGGAGCTCTTAACATCTCTCCAACTGCATCATCTGTGAAATGTGACTTCAGAGTGACTGGCTTATGTTAGACCACCCCAAGAAACTACATACACTTTACCTGCCAGTGTAATGATTGTCTGGCAGAGCGGCTGAAGTAGCAGGCCCTTTTATGCTCATTTTTCTTCTTGCTTGACTTTCTTGATCAGCAATAACAACATCAAAGTCTCATCAATGTCATGTGGAAACACCAGGAAAGCCATCATCCTGCTGGTGAGGAAGCTCTACACTGTGATGCAGTACCTGGGCCCTCTGCCAGAAAATGTCTACCTCAACATGAAGCTGGCTTACTATGACGATGGTAACACTCACATCAAAATTAATGATTTCTGCAGCATTAATTATATAGAACCCACATTTTTTTAAGGCTTTGAACATTTTTTTTATTATTATTTTTTATTAATTTATTATACCAATCACAACAAAGACTCTTAATTCCAGTGTTTTAAGTGGTGCTGCTTGATGTCTCATACGTGCCCGAGCTTTGATCTTTTTTGGCAGCTATTCAACAATGGTGATGTGCTTTTCTGTTTTTTGAAAAGTAGACAAAAAGAGATGAAGGCCTGGGTTTAGATGATTCATACGCAGGAAAAACAGCAAATTTTTCAGTGTGTTGTTACGATTTGCATATTTTCCTCAAATGGTGTCCAAGTGAATATTAACATATTAACAACAGTTCCTTAACTTTTTTGTTTTTTTTACTGCCACTAAGTTTCTACACATAGTCACACATTATATTAAATATATCTATTCAGCTAATGCAAGTATCTGATCACACAATAACATAGTGAGAAACCCAGCCCATGCGCCAGACAGCAGTTGAGAGTACCCAGTCCTCTTGGAGTCACTGGATGGGGTGCTGGAGAGTGCTCCATCCAGAAACTTCATTGTTTCGCAGAGAGACTGAAACACTCATATGGGCAATAAGAATGTGACTTGGAGGAACTGCCTGCCCTGACTTTGAATGTGGCATTGTCATTGGTTCAAAACAGGCTGGTCTGCGTATTTCAAAAAGCTGCTGATTTTCCCTTTCACTGTTGCTTCACTCTGTGTTTGCTTTTTTATTTTCCAGTTACTCCTCAGGCATACCAACCACCCGGCTTTAGGGAGGCTGACTGTGACACTATGGAGTTTGAACAGGAACCTGTTAAACTGACCATGGGGGAGGTGGTCAGCCCCTACCATACCTTAAAGTTTGACATGGCCACAGAAAGACACAGGCTAGAGCAGGTTAATTGAGAGAACTGTAAGATAAAGGGATAGAAAGTGATAAAAGATTAAAGCACATATAAAGGTTTTTGTCTTTCTTTTTCATGAGGTTTATGTTAAATGTGCAGCTTTTTTACATTAGCCCTTCTGAGAGCTCAATAAGGCATATTCTTTAATTATTCAGGTGGAGGAAAAGTGGGTCTTGAAGATAGATGAA